GGTCGTATAATTCTGTTTATACATATTATATCTATCTGATTGTTTCTTGTATGGCAGTTATACCTTGCCTTATATCTCTTTGGTTTATATCAGTCTCGATTTTACGTCTGTTTTATTAACAAAAATAGGAAAAATTATTTTCTGTGGGAACGATCATTAATGATAAAGATCGCATCCTAAAACAAATGAAAAGTTGTTCCTGCGATAACCACTGTGCCTAATAAGCACAGTAGTAACCTTGCGATCAAATTGGAGAGATTACTAGTGCTTTGGCTTAATGACATGCATCGACGGGATATCCCAGTGAGCCTCATGTTGATACAGTAAAAGACTAAAAGATTGTTCAATGCCATGAAAAGGGGGCAGGGAGAGTTTGTGGCCAATAGGGATTGGTTTATGCATTTTAAGAGTTGAACTTAAGGGTGCAAGGTGAAGCTGCTAGTGGTGATGAGAAAGCTGCAAGAGAGTTTCCTAGTGTGTTAGCAGTAATTATTAGGGAGGGAGGGTTACCGTGCCGAACAAGTATGTAACGGGGATAAGATGGCTTGTTTGGAAGTGTATGCCTAGTCGTACATACATTGCCAAGGAGGATAAGACAGAATCAGGCCATAAAGTCAGAAAGGAGAGACTGACTTTACTTTTGGGGGCTAATGCTGCTGGAGACTGCAAGCTTCACCCCTTGTTGGTTTACTTGGCAGAAAAACCAAGGGCATTTGAAAGGGTCTACTGTCAGTCATCTGGATGTCGAACAAGCAGGCTTGGATAATCCTTCAAATATTTGAGGACTGGTTCAGCAACCATTTTTTTACCAGAAGTGGAGAGGTACTGTGCTTCCAGGGGTCTGCCCTTTAAGGTGTTGCTAGTGCTGGACAATGCCCTGGGTTACCCTCCCCATTTGGATGACTTTTACCCTAAGGTAAAGGTGGTTTACCTTCCACATAATACCACTTCCCTGTTACAGCCAATGGATCAAAGGGTCATTGCCTTTTTCAAGGCCTTCTACTTACAAAGGACAATTGCTATGGCTCTCAGGGCAACTGAAAAGGACAAGAACTCGACTCTCAAGGAGTTTTGGAAGTCGTAAAACATTCTTTAAGCTGTGGTGAATATTATTGATCCTAGAATCAGAAATAACCCACAGAATACAAGCGGGATGGAAGAACTGGAAGAAAGTGTCTGGGGTGCTGTGCGACAGGAGAATAGGGATTAAGTTGAGGGGTAAAGTCCATAAGACAGTTGTGAGACCTGCCATGATGTATGGAGCAGACATGGGCAATAAAGAAGACACAAGAGAGAAAACTGGATGTGGCAGAGATGAGGATGTTGAGATGGATGTGTGGGGTGACAAGAAGCGATAAGATCAGAAACGAGGTGATTAGAGGTACCTAATAGTTAGAGAAATATCAGATAAGATACAAGAAAGTAGACTAAGATGGTGTGGTCATGTCGTTAGGAGGGATGAACAGTATGTTGGGAGGAGGGTGATGGAAATGGATATACAGGGTAGGAGAAGGAGAGGGAGACTAAAGCGTAGGTGGATGGATTGCATTAATGACGACCTGAGGTCTAAAGGTTTGTTGGGTGATGAGGTATGGGACAGAAACAAATGGAGAAGACTGGCCAGAAATATCGACCCCACATAAAAGTGGGAAAAGATGTAGACGAAGAAGAGGAGGAAGTTAAACAGACGAACTTAAATGGGGTATGGAAAAAACTGTGCCCCCAGTTTATGAATGACCTCTATGGTTTTGAGGAGACTGTTGAGGCTGTCACCAAGAACGTAGTTGCCCTGAGTAAGGAGCTGCTGAAATCTCATGAAGAGGAGTTATCTGCTGAGGCCCTCATTCAATAGGAGAAGCAGATGGCTGAAAAGGATGAAAAAATATCAAGCCCAGAGCTCAAGAGATTCACAACCAGGGAATTGGAAGAGTCTTTTGCCCTGACAGAGGAAGGGTTGGCAAAGTTCGAGGCTCAGGACCCAAACACTGCCAGGTACACTAAGGTCCCCACACTGATCACTGATTCCCTGCGGTGTTACAAGGAAATATATGAGGAGTAGAAAAGGGCATCCTTCCAGACTCGCCTCAACCAATTCTTCCTCAAGGTAGAGTCCCCACCAGCAGATCCTGTACCCTCTACCTCAGGTGCCTCTATAGACTCAACTGCCCCAGTATCTCCAGCATCTGCTACAGATTCTTTTGCCTCTCCAGACTCACCTACCCCAGTCTCCTCAGCACCTGGTTCTCTCCAGCTTCCTCCTGCTAATAGGCCTGTTTGTCTCTCCCTCCCTTGCAAAGCCCCTTCCAGTGAGCAAGCCGACCACATGAGTAAAGGTAAGCAATACTTTATACTGTATTTTTACTATTTTTATGTCTTAGATTAGACAAGTAAAGGTAAGCAATACTGTATAGCGTACTTTTACAATTATGTTTTAGATTAAGAACTTAGATAATTGTTATGTTTTAGAGTATTTATTTTTACCATTTGTGGGGGACCTAGGTTCGAATTTACATGTTTTCCGACTTATGATTAAATCCGGGTTACGACAGTTGTCATGAACAGAACCCTGACGTAAATAGGGGATCCCTTGTACAGTAATATATGTTTCAACATATATTTTGCTTACGAGTATTCTACACAATGAGTTCATACCTGTTCCTTACCTCACACACAGAATTAAAATAGTGTTAAAAATATTTTTTATCTATACTTATCTATCTTGCTGCTTAGATGCTAGTAAAGAAACAACCAACTTCAAGTGATGCATACGCTGTTATTAAACATAGGTGTCCTACTCGGACTCTAAAAGGCGACTAACAAACATAAATACTTGTAAGTGAAGCAACCACTACTGTTCACATTTTTCATAATTATTAATATGGAATTTCATAATGACAGTTAATGTTTCATTCAAATGGTTGTTACTTCAAAAGGGCCCCAACTCTGATCATCAGGGTCAAGAAAGTGATTACTCAGACTGCTGCTGCAACACTTATTAAACAGTGAAAGATTTTATTGCCTAAAGCTTGGCAACACAGATATCACTCTTGATTTTATACATCAGCCTAAAATGAAGTATACATACACTATTCACTATACCTATGACTATTCCTGCATTTTTAATATAAATGAATAAGTATTAATACTATGTATATATACAGAGGGTCACCGTTGTTCATCACTAATTGGAACCATGAATACTCGACTATTAATGAAACTATTTTTCCCATTAGAATTATTGTGCTTCGGGTCTAATAGGAACAGCCATCCTACAACTATGTTTTATAAAATGAGAAGTTGTATATAAATATGTAAATATAAATTAGAAATTGCAATATAGGAAAAAATACTGTACATGTAATAATACTTTAAAATTAATGGAAAAACTTACATTATTACAGTACATCTGACAACAGAACTACAGCAGACAACGGTTTGGGGGAGGAGGAATTATTTTCATTTTCTCAAGAGTTGACACAATATGTTTATGAATATTTTTATCTTTATTTGCCACATCTAACTCAAAATAATTTTTCAAAACAGCACACAATTGGCAGAGACTAACAGAAAACAAAAAGATATTCCTACATTCCTACATATTGTAGGAAACATAATGAAGTTGCTTCAGAACATAATACATTTGTTTTTTTATCCTCAAGACACTTGATTCAAGTTGCACGTTTCTTGAAATGATACAACCATCCAAAACTTGCTACATAATAATTGTAGACTGCATGTTCAAAAGTGGAGCAGCATCAGTATATATATATATATATATATATATATATATATATATATATATATATATATATATATATATATATATATATATATATATATATATATATAATATATATATACTCACCTCTCGAAATAATGCGAGGATAGGTTCTCAAAAGATCGAGTAATATAAATTACGCGTAATTTAAATAGTCAGTTTCCATAAGGAATAACGGTAATAGGCATAGATACGTTACACAACTGTAAACAAACACACTATGCCAAACAAATAAGATAAGTAAAACATATATTACAAGTACATAACAAAGCTGATATACCTTTAGTTGTGTATATTAAAATACAACTAGTGTACAGTATTAAAGATATGCAGATTTACAAATAAATACTGTACAGTAAACAAATTAATGTACTCTATTATGTGGTGGGCAACAGGCATACTGGGACGTGTGCGGTGGTTGAGCACGTGACTTAAGCGGTAGAAGAGGAGGTGAAATAAATTATTTTTCATTATGCAATGCTTGAATCATTGTAAAAAAAATTATATAAAACACATTCTTCTCACTCTATATACAGCGAGCAACAGGCATGGCACAAGCGTGGTGGCGGTAAGCACGTGACTTTAGCTGTAGGAGAAGAGGAGGGAGAAGCGGTAGAACGAACCCTTAGCTGCAAACGTAAACAAAGATAAAATTAAAAAATTAACAAAAGCAAGACTAGAAAACTAATATTTTTTAATTATGCAAAGCCTGAATATAATAATGTAGTACAGTATTAAAGATATAGCATAAAAAAAAAAACGTAAAATATTACACAGGTGTATTCACTCTATATACGATGGGCAACAGGCATACTGGCATGTGAGGGGGTGGCAGTGAGGAGGTGACTTAAGCGGGCTCATACTGGGTGAAGAGACTCTGAAGCACATGTTAGCATGGTGAGAAACTGCCTCAGAAGCGGTCACTTAGTTACTAAACTGAATAATTTTTGTTTCCCTTTTTTTGCATCCACGTTATTCTCGGAATTCGATTTTTTGTACTAGTTTCAAGTCCTGGTTGGGGTAAAAATGATTCATGTTTTCACATATGTAATGTGCTTATTTGGTTATTGTTGGTCCCGAATGAGACTGGGAGTTGAATTAATTGCGAAAACGAAACCACGAGTGACGTTGGGGAAACTGTCATATGAACATAGTGGCATTCAGATAGAATGAGTCCATTCCTACTATAGCAGATATAGGCTATAAAGTCTGTTTCCTTTTAACTTCTGTGGTGTAGTTGGTAGCTCCTTGGCTTAATAATTACAAGTCCTAGGTTCAAGTCCCAGTTGGGGTAAAAATGATTCATATATATATATATATATATATATATATATATATATATATATATATATATATATATATATATATATATATATATATATATATATATATATACAGTATATATATATATATATATATATATATATATATATATATATATATATATATATATATATATATATATATATATATATATATATATATATATATATATATATATATATATATATATATATATATATATATATATATATATATATATATATACAGTATATATATATATATATATATACAGTATATATATATATATATATATATATATATATATATATATATATATATATATATATATATATATATATATATATATATATATATATATATATATATATATATATATATATATATATATATATATATATATACAGTATATATATATATATATATATATATATATATATATATATATATATATATATATATATATATATATATATATATATATATATATATATATATATATATATATATATATATATATATATACATATATATATATATATGACGTATTGCTTTTCCTAGCAACGTTTTATCCCGCCGTACGCCACCACTGACGTATTGGTTTTGATTATCCCATCTAATGACACCACTGACGTAGGGCTTTTCCTCCTATGTATGTATACTTATAATTATGGTAGCGTGGTTACAAGGTAAGAATGGACAAGCAGTAGTTCCTTTGCTTATATTTATTCTAGAGTACAACACATCCGACGCCTCAATGCCCCCACCCTATGACTATCACAATCTATGATCTATTCGTGCCCCTGGCAAAGTTCTAACTAACTGTCTCTGCCCTGGGTGGCTCTTTAAATACCCCCAGGGGAAGGGCGTGGCTTAACATCCAATTCTCCAATGAAATCAGTGAGATCTAGTCCTGCCAAATCAACGCCAAGTTCAAAGTGGAATCCCGCCTACTTCCGGGGAGGAGTTATTGGGCATCTCTCCTGGGCGTGTACCTGCGTACGAAACATAAGTTTATATTTCCTGCGGTTTAGGAAATGGCTAACTTCCTGGCCTTTCCTGCCCTTCTCGATGCCAGGTCCTAAGTCTCACGGTTCCGGTCATATATCTCCTTGACACTTTCTACAAACATTGTAATAAAATATCTGTGCCCTCGACCAACCGTTACCCCTCAAGATCTGTTACAAGTTTCAGATTCTGGCTTCAGCATGACGGACTGGCTTCAGCATGACGGAAGTCATACGACATCCCTCCCAACCAAAACTGAAATATCTCTTATTTCAGTCGAAGCATGGGCTAATTTTCCGGGAGCTCTTGGACATATCCTAGCTAACATTAGTTTACAATAGAAATGGGGCCGAATTATTTAAGCTATTTTCTAGGAATTCCTATTTCTATGAATCCTAAACAAATTATACAAACATAACATATATAGAGTACTTTTACAGACAACTAGAGCATGCAGGGTCTATTTCCTTGTTGGAAATCTGTAATACAAACATTTTCTTATATTTAAACAACATAATTCCAGTGTGAAACTAATATTAAACATTAATTAAGATCAAAAAGTCAGTTTAAATCAAAACATTAATTCATCTACTTCTCTCGTTTCTTTAAAAGACAAAATTGAGTTAATTACAGTAGAATTATGACTCATTTAGAACATTAGCAACAATTAAGTAGAGTATTAGCATGTATAAACATGTAAAATGCAATAGACCATAACATCAACAGTAATTTCTATATGAGACCTTACCTTCATAAATTCTATTCCTATCATTATTAGGGGCATTGATTTGTCTTAAAATTAAGCCTTAAAAACTACTCCTGAAACAAAACATGTTTTACTTTCATATTATATTACTATTCAGAGACCACTTAACATAAAAACTTAATGAATCTAAAGATTAAATCATAATTCAAATAATAATGCTAAAACAAAACACTAATATTATTTAAGCAGAAAATAACTTATTAACCTTAGTTCAAATCATACACTTTATCAATGGCACTTACTCACACTATATTTAAGGGAGACTCTGAGTTTTCGCTTAAAATTATCTTAAAGCTAGCAAAACAAAAAAAATAAACAAAAATAAAAATATTTTGTCTCCTTTTTTAGCACAAAAGACGGTGGGGACATTTTCTTTCCCATTTTTTTCAGTTCTAATACGGAGGTAATTTTAATTAACCAATAAGGGATTTTTTTAAATACCCTTCTTTCTCTCTTCACTAAAGTTTGGACATGTATAGGGCTTATTTTTCTTTCTCATTTACGTGGCTTCTAAAGGTATTATTAAAATATTTTAAAATATTTTTGCGTTTCTTTTCCTCTCTTTTTACTACAGTTATGACACGTATGGGGATCTCCTTGTTTCTGGGATTTCATCAAGATTACCTGGGTTTTTAAAGTAGTTTAAAATTTTTATTCTTTTAGGACTGTCCTCCCTGTCTTAGGACGACTTTCGTTTTCTCTGTCTAGGACGACTTTTACTTTCTCTGTCCAGGACGACTTTCGTTTTCTCTGTCTAGGACGACTTTTACTTTCTCTGTCTAGGACGACTTTTAATTTCTCTGTCTAGGACGACTTTTACTTTCTCTGTCTAGGACGACTTTTACTTTCTCTGTCTAGGACGACTTTTACTTTCTCTGTCCCTTGCTCATGAATTCTTGCTAGGTGCGATTCCACGGTTTCCCTCGGGGATTCTTTCGCTTTCACTCCCCCGCCGTCCTCGCTGCAGGCCCAGGTTTGTTGCCATATCTCCGTTACTCGGTTAGGCAAAGCAAAAAGGACAAGGACTGGGCCCCATCCCGCGAATCCTTCCAGCCCGGCTTCCTCGTCCCGCCCTCGGCCGATCTTGACTAAGACCACCACGCAGGAGACCTGCAACGTCACAGCGTTTCTCTTCCTGTACGGTCCTCCACACGTACCTTCGAAGTAGATCGCGGGATGAAAGTTTGAACCTAGGTCACTACTACAGTTGTAAGAAAGGTTCCCTATGACTTCAGGGTACCAACAATGGCCATACGTTGGCAATCGAGGCTATACTTTGCCTCCCCTGCAACTGCAAGTGATTGCAATCTCTATTCAATGGGCACTAGGGACTTGTCTGACGGACAAAATCTAAAGACTTTTTAGAACTTGCAGGTCGGGGCTGCCTAGGAATAGGGTGGTAATGGAAGGTATGTGTCTACACAACTAGATTATTATTCCAAGATACTTAGGACTTAGCAACTGCTACATAGCATTACTCTACTATAAATGTCAAAAAGAACAATCATTAAATGCTGAGAAAAGCCACTAAAGAAACATTCTTATTAGCGGTGGCTACAGTAACATCAAATATGAATTCAGATAAAAGATACAAATCATCAAGTTACTGCTGATTTCATTTCAAAAATAATAATTAGCAACAGGCCATTGAGAGATAGCAACAATATCAGTCAACATAATAACATTACTAATAATCATGATCTAAAAATAAGAAGAATAAACAATAAAAATGAATATACTAAATCAGAAATATCAATATATATCCAATGGAGACTGGCATTCAGAAGTAAGAACAGAGTTCTATACTTATACTTCATAGTGATGCTTATTCTAACACAGTCTCCTTTAATATTCAAATTCCTGCTGTCATAATCAATGTATATATATATAGCATAAGTGGCAACTTGCTGGCTCCACAATTTGTCAATGGGAGTTCTATTTATTCTCTAAACAGTTGCGCCATGTGGTTAAAATATTTTATGCAAATGGCGGTACTACCGATGTCTTATCAGTATTTATGCGATAACAGCATGCAACAATCTACTGACTGCAATAAAATGTAGGCACAATTATCGCCTAGCTTTGCTGGAAAAAAACACAAAAAAAAATCAAAGACGGCTACATTCTTTTAGCATTGAACGGGGCCTCTATCAGGCTCAGAGTCGAGTGAAAGGTAGGAGAGAGAGAGAGAGAGAGAGAGAGAGAGACTGGGCGACCGTGAAATACGTTGCGGTTTCCACTCACAAGTCAGCTGAGATGGGCCTCTGTCTTTTACTTGTACTGAAAATAAAAAATTGTCGCCGAGTATCTCAAATAATAAAAATAAATAAACAAATGAACGTGAATAAACGTTAGCAATGACCACCGATAGAGTCTTACGTTTATTGTCAGCGGCTATTCTCATTCCCTCATTAACAAAAACAAAAGCAAACAGAACTTAGTGTACAACTGCAGAACTGTCGAAGCATAAATCCATTCCTCTCTGTTTAATCTTGATAAGGACTTTACTGTAACGGCATACACATCCTTGTCTATAATGACAATCCTTTTCTTTTCATGCTATAAATCAGAGGGTTAAGTCGAAGCACACACACTGATGAAATTAAAGCAAAAAAACTAAAATCATATGTGACAGTATCCCTACTACTATCAACAAAAGTACAAATATCCTTTTCTTAACAACTTCTTAAAAAGGACTTAAGTGTCATTAATTTTAACTTTAAAACTCAGCAAATAATCTCTAATAATCTCAATTATCTTTAATTAGCCCGATTGTAATCTAAAATTCATGAAAATGCTAGGGATTAACCATGGTTATCTCTAGATAATCTTTTCAGAATCCTTTAAGTAAGATTTTAAAGATTTCTTCAATACAAAAAGAACTATAACAAAAACGGGTATCTAAGAATATAAAAAGTCTATCTCTGTGTATGCAATAATAAAAACAAAAATTATATTTCATTAGCAACAGTAAAGAATGCATTTTGCTTAAACTTCAAAATCTCGTACGGAGTTGTACATAAACAATTCAAACATAAAATATACATCTTCTTTTACTATCTCGAATTTGACTTATAACTGCTCTCTCAAATACGGGATACAGCTGTGTAACATTCTTGTTGTCATTTCGTGTCAGCTCTCACTCTTTCTTTATGACCAAGCCGAAATAATTTTGATAAAACATTATCATGGCTAAAACTCGCAAAGTTTTACTTTAT